AGATAGATAGATGATAGACAGATGATTGATAGATAGATAGATGATAGATAGATAGATAGATAGATAGATAGATAGATAGATAGATAGATAGATAGATAGGCAGATAGATAGATAGATAGATAGATAGATAGATAGATAGATAGATAGATAGATAGATAGATGATAGATAGATAGACAGGTAGACAGATAGAAAGAAATAAACCAAACAAAAAGACAATGTGGGTCTGGAGGTGGGAACTGGGGAGCAGCTCAGATGGAAGCTATGTGGTCCTCTAAGGTTTATGGACTGGAGGCAGGAGGATGGCCTTGTATGGCTGTTGAGTCCATGCTGCTAGTCAGCAAGAGGACTCAGCTTTTCACACGTGTCTCCCGGGGACTGCTTGAGTGTCCTCATGGTGTGTCAACTGGCTTCCCAGGACAGCTGATCCACTGGAGATCAAGGGACACAATAGTCTTTAAACTTAATCAATTTTCTCTTTAATTGGCACACAGAGCAAGGGGCTTCCTTCTGGTGTTTCCACGCATGCTTAGTTCTGGCTGATCCCGCCTGCCTCCTGCTGGTCTCCCCATCTCTGTACCCCGTTCCCATTTGTACCATTTCAACCCCAGCAATGCCCCTTTCACTTTCATATCACGTGTGCTGATAATTTCTTCACCCTCTCCCTTAAGTTCCCTTCCCCCCTCATGGGCCCCTTTCTGGGCTCCTGACCTGCACCTGGTACTCACAAGCACATACCTACACGTATATCCAAATCAGAAGCTAGGATCCACGTAGGAGAGAACAGGAGGTGTTGTCTTTCTGGGTTACCTCGCTTAATACCTCTCAGTTGTGGTGATGTATCGTGTACCCTAATAAACTTTACCTGAGGATCAGAGGACAGAACAAGTCACTAGATTAGACATAGAGGTCAGGCAGTGGTGGCACACACTTGAATCCTAGCACTTGGGAGGCAGAGATTCGTCTGGATCTCTGTGAGTTCAAAGCCACCCTGGACTACATGAGATTGACTCCGTCTAGGAGAGAAACAGCCAGGCAGTGGTGGCACACACCTTTAATCCCAGCACTTGAGATCTCATGCCTTTGCTTGGGAAGCACACACGCCTTTAATGGCTGGGCAGAGAAAGGTATATAAGGCGTGAGGAGACAGGAACTAGAAGCCTTTTCTGCTGAGGAAGCTCATTCAGCTAGAGGCCTATCGGCTGAGGAACCGCTTTCAGGAGAGGCACTTTTGGCTAGGGTTCTTTTATTTTTTATTTTTGGTTTTTCGAGACAGGGTTTCTCCATGTAGTTTTTGTGCCTGTCCTGGATCTCTCTCTGTAGACCAAGCTGGCCTCTAACTCACAGAGATCGGCCTGGCTCTGCCTCCCAAGTGCTGGGATTAAAGGCGTGCGCCACCACCGCCCGGCTTAGAGCTCTTTCAGGCTGAGGAGTTGGTGGGGTGAGAGGTGGTGGCTGTGGCTTGCTCTGCTTCTCTGATCTTTCAGCTTTCACCCCAATATCTGGCACCGGTATTTTTTTTTAAAATTCGAGTTATACACAGTCTCATTCTTTTTCCTGCAAATATCATAATTTCAATTTTCTCGTGTGTGTAGCTGTGTGTTTCTATGCACATGTGTGCAGGTGCATGTGGAGGTCAGAGGCCTCCTCCCACAGACATTCTTCAGAGGCCATCCGCATTGACAAAGGTTTTTTTCCTGGCTAGGAACTTGCTAATTAAGGCTGGCTGGCCAGCGAACCCCAGGGACCACCCATTTCAGCTGATTCAAGCATATGGGATCACAAGCACACACCACCATACCTGCCTGTTTATATATGAGTTCTGGGGATCCAACTCGGGGCCTTGTGTTTGCAAGGAAAGCACTTTATCAACGGAACTATTTGCCCAGCCCCATAATTTCACTTTTCTATACAGCTGAATATAATTCCATGTGCATAGCTGTCATATTTTCAAACTGTCAATCAATAAGTGAGCCACTGAACTGAACGGATAGTTTTCAAAGGAAGAAGTACAAATATTCAATTAATATTTTAGGACACATTCAACATTTTTAGCCACCAGGGAAATGTAAACTGAAACTACTTTGAGATTCTCTCCCTTGTCAGAGTGGCTATCGTCAAGAAAACCAACGACAATGAATCTGATGAGGATGTGGGAACACAGGGGCCCTTATTCACTGCTGGCGAGAGTGAAACTCAGTGTGCAGGTTTCTCAAAGAATGAAAAATAGATCTCTCCCGGCCTAGCTTTATAATGCTCGTGCACACACCTAAAGGACTATGCCCTGTGGCAGAGATGCCTACACAGATCAGCGGAGAGCGAAAATGCGGTGCATAGACTCAGTGTCTTCCTGACCTAAGTGTTCATGTCACGCCACCATTGCTGCAGGGTCCTGGGTCAGCCTCTTCATATGGGAGGGAACGGTGGCATTTGACCACTGGGAGGCAAAGATCCCGGGAATGTCTTGCAGGCTGGCTCCTAGGGTGTGTGAGCTCAGGTTAACATAGCTGAAGCTGTTCAGAGGGCTCCAGCACAGACACACAGTGTGTGAGTAATTGCTCTCATTACTGCTGCCGTCACTGTTCCTGTCTCCTAGAGAGAAAGCAGCCCAGAAGGACCCTGGGCAACCACCACTGACACAATTGCCGTTGACTGCAGGACCTTTTGTAGAGAGGAAGACACTCGGCCGCTGAGAGAGGACGGCAGTTCAAGAGTGACAGAAGAGGAGGACAAACTCAGCCTCCGTCTCTTGCTCTTCAACCAAGTGCTGTCAGGAGACAGCTGGGGACACCACTCCCCCCCCCCCCCGCCCCCAATGCCTCTGTCAACACGGATCCCTCTCTTTCTCCAGGTTTGCAGTCCCTGCCCTAACCCCCAGGGTGGGATTAGGTCAGTATTTCCTGTGTCTTCTGTCATACCATTCCCAATTAAATGAGGTTTCCCATTTCCAGGAGTCTCCACAACTACCTTCCTCCTGAGTCTTCTCTCATGATCTAGGGAGGGTTGGTCCAGGGACGCTCTTCCCAGGGATACAAAAGCCAATGGATAGCCAGGCAAAGTGGCACACCCCAACACTTGGGAAGTGGCACAAGGGAACAGTGAGTTCTAGGCCAGCCTGGAGTACACACAGAGACCCTGTCTCAAAACATGAGAAGACAAATACATAAAATGACTCCATATTCACATCTAACCTAAGTACATCTTCTTGAACACTGGTCTATCTAAGTCACCTGCAGCATGTTTAGACTACCTAACCCAACGTGAATGCTCTGTAGATGCTCTGTTGTATTGTTTAGGAACAACAACAAGGAGAATATCCGTATGTGTTCAGTAAATACCTGTTTTTATATAGTATTTTGCTGTCCATGGGTGATTGAATCTGAGGATTGAAACTCATGCATATGAAGCACCCACTGTATTTTCCTTCATCCTAAGCAATAATCTCCGTGAAATCACAGGTTTGATATGTGGATTGCATTTCCAAAACACATTAAAATGACTGTGAGACTCTGACAGTGGATGACAGAGCCTCTGTCCAGGGCATGCTTCTCTAAGGGTTGCTTTGAGGCACCCTATTTGTTCTAGGAAAAGGGGTGCAGCACCAGAGCCCTGACCACTCTGCTCATAATAGAGGGTGCTCTTCAAGGTGTCTTGGAAGTGGCCCAGGTCCAGGGACAGTCAGCGGCTGCTTGTGTTTGCTTTTGATTCAGATTACTGTTTGCTTAATTACCTTTTAAATTTAGTCTATTGTAATGTGTCCAAGTGTTTCTCCTGCGTGTGTGTCTGTGTACCACGTGCATGCTTGGTGCCTGCAGAGGCCAGAAGAGGGCACTGGATCCCCTGGAACTGGAGTTACAGATGATTGTAAGCCACTTAACATGGACGCTGGGAACTGAACTTGAGTTCTCTGAAAGAGCAGCCAGAGCTCAAACCTCTGAGCCATCTCTTCAGCCCTTGCATGCAGTTGATGAAAAACCTAAATCACTGGGTTCCCACTTCCTTTTTCTATAGGCAGCTGCTATTAACTTGGGGCTGAATCATTTGGTAGGTGTCTACATCATTAAAAGACACAACTCTTTCTGTTATATTTATTTTAATTACTTTATTTATTTAGTGTGTGTGTGTGTGTGTGTGTGTGTGTGTGTGTGTGCATGCACATGTGTGCCAAGGCGTGCGTGTGGAAGTCAGAGGACAGCTTGTGGGAGCTGGTTCTCTTCTTCCACCACGTGGGTCCTGGGGACCAAGCTTGGGTGGTCAGGTTGGCAGTAGGCATGCTTACCCAGGTCATCTCACTGGCAAGGAAACAGGAAGCCTGGGTGCATTCATTTCTCTCTGCTCTTGACTGTGGGTTGAGGCTTGGAGTTCCTGCCTTGATTTCCCACAATGGCGACTGTAATGTGGAATTTTAAGCTCCCTTCTCTCCTCTGAGTCACTTTGAGCAGTTAGAGCGGTGGTCCCCGACCTTCCTAACGCTGCGACCCTTTAATACAGTTCCTCATGTTGGGGTGACCCCCAACCACAACATTATTTTCACTGCTACTTCATAACTGTAATTTTGCTGCTCTTATGAATCATAATGTAACCACTGTGTTTTCCAATGGTCTCAGGCGACTCCTGTGAAAGGGTCAGTGGACCCTCAAGGGGTCACGACCTATAGGTGGTGAACCGCTGAGTAAGAGTGTTTTATCATAGCGACAGAAGTGAAACTAGACCAAGAGCATTAAGTGTGTTCACATGGTTGTGAAACCATCACCACCATCCACACCCATCAAACAGTAGCTCCCGTCCCCACCCCAACTCCTGCCAATCATCACCCCACTTCCTGTTTCAGGCAATTCAACTATTCAAGGAAGTGGAAGCATGCATTAGTTTTCCTTTGGGGCCTGCCTGTGTCACTTATCTCATGGCCTCAGGGTTCATCCGTGTCGCAGCGTGTTCCAGGATCCCTTCCATTATAAGGATACATAACATTCCATACCTCCCACACTCATCTAGCCGTGTGACCTCCGCTGGTTCTATTGTGTCCGTCATGAGTGACGCTGGAGTGAACACATGGGTTCACACACTTGCTTGCAGTTATTTGGGATACGTCCAGACACGGACCCGCTGAGCCCTGTTGTGAGTGTAGTTTTAATTTTTGAGGAGCCACGGTGCTATTTCCACAGCAACACTTCCATTTCACGTTCCCATCCACAGTGTACGAGGTTTTCTAGTTTTCCCCATCGCAGCCAAAAGTTGCCAGTTTATGGATTTTTGTTATTTGTTTTGTTGAGTTTTGAAAATATAATAGCTGTCCTAATGAGTGTGAGGTTATTCTTTTAATTGTGGTTTGAATTTGCATTGCTAATGATCAGTGATAATGAGCATATTTTCATGTGCTTATTGCCCATTTGTTTATCTTGTTTGGATAAATGTCTATTCAAGTCTTTTGCTCAATTTTAAATCAAGATGGGGTGCTCTTATTGAATTGTAGGAACTCCTGAATTTCTTTTTTCCTTAAAGATTTATTTACTTATTTATTTGTGTGTGTGTGTGTGTGTGTGTGTGTGTGTGTGTGTGTGTGTGTGTGTGGTCTGTCTGTGTCTGTGGAGGGATATGTGCATGTGAGTGCAGGTTCCCTTGGAATCCACAGGAGGGCATTGTACCCACGAAAACTAGAGTTACAGGCTGGTTCTGAGTTGCCTGAGACAAGAACCAGAATTTAAACTCAGGTTCTCTGCTCGTGTAGTAAGTGCATGTTCTTATCCACTGAGCCACCTCTCCAGCCCAGTTCCTATAACTCAAATATTAGCTCCTCATCAGTTGTAGAGTTGCGAGTGTTTTCCCATCCTGTAGATGGCCTTTTCCCTCTGCTGAAGGTCCTTTGCTAAACGTTATTTTTAAATTTTGCTGTAACCCAATTTATCTACTTTTTCTTTTGTTTGCCGACCCTTTTGTTGTTTCATTTTGCAAAGCTTTTTATACGATCATTAAAAAATAAATAACAGTCACAGTGCACCATGATTAATATTTTTCTCACACAGCTTTGTGTTTAACTTGGAATTAATAATTGATATTTTTGCCTTGGTATTTCATTTCTTGCTCAGTTTCCTTTGTTTATCCCTTACTCCCCTCCAGTATTCCTCGTTTGTATAAATCTCCTTAATGCAATCACTCGCAGTAAGTACCCTAGAAACTTACTCCCCTTGCATGAAGTCCCTGCTGGACGCTAGCTCTTCCTTCCTGGGTTGGTCTTTGGGGGCGGGGGGTGAGCTCTCATGTCCCTTGGGATTCTCCCTTCAAGGTCATTCGGGGGCTTTTCTGTCTTTCCTCCTGTGCGTGATCCCTCACTTCCTACTTCCCATGTCTTCTCCTATGTAGTTCTACCGGACTTGGGGACCACCTCCCCACAGTTTTCCAAAGGAAAATGTTCTGTATCCTCTAAAACTCAGACTGACCCCATTTCCCATTGTGAGGCAGTGGCAGAGGACTCTGACTGTGCTGTTGGAAATGGGGTCTCAGGGCACACAGATCACACAGGGGACCAGGAAGAGGTCCCCATGCTTGAATCCTGGTAGCTTTATGAGAAGAGAGACCAGAGGGATACTTTCAACCGTATGATGCCCTATGTTGCCTAAGCATTCTACCAGCAAGAAAGGCATCACCAGATGCAGACCCTCGATCTTGGATGAGGGTCGTAAGCCAAATAAACCTCTTTCCAGGAAAATTTCCCCAGTACTGTGTTAGCAACAGAAAACAGGCTAAGACAGGGTCCTTATGGAGAAATGCTAAGGACCTTACCTTTCTAAAAGTGTCTCATATTTGATTGACAATTTTCCAGGTACAGAATTTTAAGTTGAAAATAATTTTCTTTCTGAATTTTGGAGACTTGTTCCATTGTCTCCAGTTCCTGTCACAGAGTCTAATGACACTGTTTCCCAATCTATCAAAAGAGCCCTGTTCTTCCTCACTCGGTGTGTCTAGGAACAGGTTCTCTTCTGATCATGGTGTTGGGCACATAGTGGGTCCTCTTGTTCTGGAGATCTATCAGCTTTAATTTGGAGATATTTTTCTAGAACTAATTCTATAGAGACGTTATTGTTTCTGGAAACATTTAATTACTAAGGCATTGCCGCCCCCTCCCCCTTAGTGCTGCTTGTCTTTGTTCACCTAATTATTGATAATTATTCATCCCTTTTTGATTTCCCTTCTGGAAAATTTCAACTTTCTACAGAATAAAGTTTCCACTTTTATCATACTTGTGAGAGCACTTTGCTATCCGACTGCTCCTTTTGGGTATTACCTTGTTCTTTTTTCATGGATACAATGCTTTCTCCCGTTTCATTGAAGTGACCCATTAGTGATGCTTTGCTGTTGCTCCTGCCGAGGTGTCCCTCACCACGTCTGCACTCTGCTTCCTCCAACTTAGCTTTTACCCCATGACTGAAAACACTAGCCACACACTGGGAGGATTTATCACAGCATGAATAATAAAGCATTACCACCCAGAACATATGAAGACTACTCACAAATCACCAAGAAGACACAACTCAATTTAAAAAGAACAAAAAGAGATGAACAATCATTTCACAACAGATGAAATAAAAATGGAAGATAAACCTAAAGAAAAGTAGTTTACGGCTAATAAAAATCAGGAAAATACAAGTTAAGAGCCAGAGAGAGCTAGGTGTGGTGGTGCATGCCTTTATTCCCAGAGATGGGAAGATTTCTGTGAGTTTGAGGCCACCTGGTGTACGTTTCAAGTTCCAGGGCAGCTAGGGATACTCAGACAAAACCTGTCTCAAAAAAAAAAAAAAAAAAAGCCAGAGATTTTCTACAAAAAAGGAGCCTGATGATGATAAGTACAGTTGATATGTTAATGAACACGTGCTCTTTCTTTTTCTTTTTTCTTTTTAAGGCAGGATCTGACTACCTAGTTCACACTTGCCTCAAAATTATCATCCTCCTCATTTGGGATCACAGGTGTACACCATTACATCTAGCCAACATCTTCTTCTTCCTCCTCCTTCTTTTAAATGTGTCTGAATGTATGCCATGCTTCTTCAGTGCCCATGGAGGCTCGATGGTGTCAGATTTCCCTGGGAGCTGGAGTTATAGGGATGTGAGCCACCCAACATGGGTGCTAGGAACTAAACTTGGGTCCTCTCAAAGAACAGCAAGTGCTCTCAACTGATGAACTGTTTCTCCAGCTCCAAACTTTAAGATTTATTTGTTATGTATACAGTGCTCTGGCTGCATGCCAGAAGAGGGCACCAGATCTCATTATAGAGGGTTGTGAGTCACCATGTGGTTGCTGGGAATTGAACTCAGGACCTCTGGAAGAGCAACCAGTGCTCTTAACCTCTGAGCCATCTCTCCAGCCGCCTCCAAACATCCTTACATACTCCTAATTCAGTGTTGGTTGCTGCAACCACTTTGGAACATTGTAATTTCATTACTAACTGCAAGGCTTAGAGGAAAAAGGAAGAATAGTTTATTAGTCGGTGGCTAGAATTATGCTACGGTAACAAACC